AAAACTGATGTCTAGCTTAGTCTGTAAAAACATTAATTTTCTCTCTCATAACAATGGCTTACACTCTCAGTCTAATCGAATCAAAATCCAAGAAAGCCATACAAATGCTTGAACACGGAAGCACGATTGTCATGAAACCCTTAAAGTTCCCACCTCACATGAAAAATATTCGAACAGAAAAGTTTAAGATAACTGTAAGAAGTGTATATTTTTGTTGATTCTTTAAACCTTTTCAAAAAAGATATCTTAAAAAATTACGTTATTTTAACTCTTTTAAACTTTTCTCATACGAAAAAGCACAAAGTTTGACGTTATTCGGAAATAACTCGAATGGTGTCAGAGTCGGGATCATTATCGTTAAAAATCCGCCGGCAACAAAATTTTTCAAAAAAGTAGTATATGTTTTTGACTAAAATTTTCTTATAAAAGTCATGAATATAAAAAAGAAAATTCAGATCTTAAATAAAAGTATCGCTTACCTTTCATTTTGTCTTTGTTAATCTTTGTTAATCTTTGTTATTTTACCTTTTGTGGTTTGTGGTTGGTATTGATCTTATCAGTTTGAGTTTTTTCCAATCTACTTTTTTAGGGTATCAAATGTCGGGTAGATATACTAATTTTTCTAATAAAATTCTAAAAATAATCAAGTTTTACGACGAAAAAATAGTGTAATGTTGTCAAAAATATCATATTTGTACTGATAGTTGTTCTAATATTTTTTTATATTCACTGCATATTTCACATCCGGCTTAAAGGACTTGATTGTTTTCCAGTTTTCCGGAAGTAGAAAAAATGTCCCCATTTTTTGCTGCAAATCCCCATTTATATTTTTCAAATACAATCGTAAGAGTTGAAAAGCTTTATCGTATGAAACACTTGCACTAGTTCTTAATAACTTACGTCAAAAACTTTAAGGACGTGCTTGTTTTCGTTTTCTCAATATAATATTATTGGAATATTTTTCTCTTTTATTCTGTATCATACGATTTTGTTTGGACGCAACCTTCTCATACTCATTAATTATTCATGAGGTAACTAGCCAATCGATTACCTCGTACCTGGTCACATGATGTATCTTGAAACTAGGTCAAGTGTCTTAAAGCCGGGGAGGGTTTTGATATCAGCAGGGAAGAGGTGGGGCTGATGAATTGGAACAAAAGAAATTAATTCAGTCGA